CGTTATACCTTTTGGGCTGAACGATTGATGCGGTTGATATATAATATTTATCGGACGTTTATCGGATCTTATTTATAACTTAGATACCAGATATACGAGAGAATGACTTCGTCGCACTAGTCCTCGTATAAACGTAAGGTTAGGTTATGTTGGATTACGCTATCCCGCTATAACTAATACATAGGTACCTAACTCATTTTTCATTATATTTTTTACACATAGGTATTATATTGTTTACTTTTTTTTTACATATTTATTACATATTTTTATAATACTACATTTTTAAAAAAATTTAAAACATATTTACATTACATATGACTTTTTTCTAGAATATTTGTTAAATAATAAATAATAAATGATATGGCAACGTTGCACGTAAATTCGTTCTCAATCGTATTCTTTTTTGAGTTTTTTTAGGGTCAGTGGTAAGTTTTTTGTTATTTTTAAGTGTTCTCAATCGTTCGGCTAAAAAGGTATAACGTTCTCAATCGTTCGATAGCCATACATGTTATATACATATAAACTTTCTTTTTGAATGCATCTATCAATTAAAAAAAGCCGAATCAAAATCTATTGCATAGTCTCAAAAGTCTAAGCATACATTGAGGCAGACAGACGGCGGGAAGCTACATTGTAAAAATGTAAACATTGTTGACACCGTGCATGCAATTTTTGCTAATACAACCAACGTCATTTTATGTGTTGAAATTACTGTTGTGGATCTACAACAGAGCTCACTTTGAATTTAAAAGTACAGATTTTATGATTGCATAAATAAACGGCTTTCTGCATCTTATATATTGTTATTTTATTGTTTTTGAATTTTACTATATGTTTACAATATTCCTACCTTGTCCTCTTAAAATTCTACTAACTCTTCAAGTCTTTTAAGAAAAAGTATTGCAGATGATTTACCTTTTAAAAATATTATGTACACAATTGGAAAATTTAGCATACTTTTCGACACTTTTTTTTCAAAAAATAACATTGCTTTATGCAGTTCCATAAAAACGCAAATTTGTGCAAATCTTGACGTGCTTAAAAATGTACTCGGCAATTATTTGGATTTTACATATTCGAAAGCAGAAATATTGTCATTTTCTAGTAGACTTAAGTGCAATATAATTATTCAGACCTTGTTAAATATGAATCAATTGATTTGAGATCAAAAATGCAGCCCCGGTTTCAAACAAAAAATGTAATTGAATATTGGTGTTCATTGACGAAGGCTTATTTGTGAGTTCTGATTATATTCCCTGTTTCAAAAGAGAACATACCAGGCGGCCACGGGCAAAACCGGTTTTCTTATGTGAATCTGGTATATTCTCTTTTGAAACAGTGTATACATGTTTCTGCGAGTCTGGATTATCTGCAATGGTCACAATTAAAACTAAAACAAGAAATCAATTGGACTTTAAGGACGATATTCTTGTTGCTCTGTCCAGTACCATCCTACATTTCAAGGCAATATTGCAATCAAAAAAACAGCATAATATGTCACATTAAAACTTGTTTTTAACTATTATAAAAAGTTATTAATCACAATAATTTAATATTGTATTAAGTCTTAGTACTATCATTAAATTAATATTTATTTTTTGAGGAGGGAGGGGGTCTGTGATTACATTTTATACTTGAAAGGGGTCCACGGCCCAGAGAAGGTTAAGACTCTATGCCTTACAGTTTATTTCCCTGATCTATTTGGGCTGATATTTTTAATTCTTTAAAGTGTATTGGCTATCATGTATAACGCTCTAAGTCCTAATATGTTTCAACTATTCGATATCTCAAGTCTCAGCTCAAGTATAGGTACAATGTGATAAACATGTCAAAATGTGTAGTTCAAATGTAATTAAAGGGCGCATATGAAAAACTAGCCCTGGTAATAATGCTATATTTAATGTTATTTGTGTTTGTCTAAAATAGAATTAAACAAATATTTTTTTTCCTTTAAATGGTTGATGTTAAAAGTTCTTCTGACTTTGCAATCGTATGTAAAAAAATGTAGATCGAATTTAAACAAGAAATTGAATTAGATGAAGTTCTAGTATTTCAGCCGTGAAAAATATCCAACGATCTTTAATTTTGGTATTATATAATATCCTCAAATAGGAGAGAAAAGGTTCAATACAATTACAGGTTGTAACTACCTAATAAGGTATAATATGTATCAATATAGCAATCGCTAGTTCACGTTAACGTTTGTTTTTTCAAATGAACCCATTAGCGTTCACGTTCTTTGAAAAAATGAATGCGTTCAAAAACGTTCATTTGGTTTTTTTTAAATTGTATTATAATATTAATTGAAATAAGGAAATTGTATTACATAATATAAATAATCAATATGTTTTAAACGTAATATATTCATTAAATGTCAAATAAATTGAGCGTCTTAAATATTGTTCAAATTCATTAAAACATAAACATTCACGTCTAATTTAATGAAAACGAGCAAGGTTCACTAAATGTGGATATGAACGTGAACGTGTGAACGTACGTTCATGAATGGCGTTCTTTCCAAACACTGATAATAAAATATAGTTAGTACATCAAATATTTCTTTCGTGTACAATGGTTTTACATCACTTGACACACACAACAAATTATGTGTTTATAATTTTACAAATTTACACGGTCATTTGGAATTTTTTATTCATGTTTACGTCCAACGATATTACGCCATCAGCGAATAATATAATCCGTATGGTCTAGTTGATAAAAATCAATGCACATTGCACATCGGTTATCCACATAATATTGAATGTTAAATGCACCTACAGCAACAACAGTATACGCATGGTCAATAAATAATAAACATACACATGATCCCATTAAAAATTAAAATCTAAAAGAGAACATTTAAGTACATACTATTGTACAAAAAATCATTGTTCTCTGCAGGAAAACAGTATGACAATAAAGCTCATTGATATTACTTGTGTGGTTACGATATTATAGACAAAAGATGAAGTGTTTACTAATCCATCTTATTGTTTTCGTTGTTTTTGTTCATTCGGATACGACTAAACGTTTGTTTTTACCTCAATTACCGATGGTAAGCACCTAACTAATTATATGCATCACCACATTGTAACAAAAGAATGTCCTCCAATTCCGTATACGTAATATGATACAGCTTATAATGGTTTTATATATTTCCTCAGGGTGAATACCGAGTAAAAATGGTAGCAATTATACGTTGTGAACAAAGCCAGACGAATAATTTAATGAAGCTCAATTATTACATAAGCAAAACGTCGATAAACACCACAGATATGAAAGGAAACATGACCTTTCTTATACCACTTGATGATTCTTTAAATGTAAGTATAGCAGTTCTGTTATTATTAAATTGTATATTTTCTCATGAACTAAGTTTAGTAGTTATGATTATAATATATATAATAAAATACAATATAATATAGATTTATTTTTGAACAAATAAGAAATTTGGGATTTTATACACTTATATATTTCACATAATAAGTTGAGTACCAAATACATTTTTGTAAAAATTATTGTTGAACTTTATCGTTTTATTGTGGTAGACCTGATTTTGTTCAAAATATGTGAATTGTTTTCATTATAGGTTGAAATAAATGGAGCGGTAAAAGATTCTATTGGTGGTTGGAAGGAAAATGCTCATATTTTTAAGCAACCTAAAGCTTGCTCTGCACTCAAGAAAATGTTGGGGAATACTTGGCATAACATAACGGAAAGTTTAGGAATGCACAATACACCTGGTTGTCCTATTCCCGCGGTAAGGATAAGTATTATACAAATAAAAATAATGTAAACGTTAATATATTTTAAATTATGTGTTTATTACATACCAATGAACTGTATATCGCTCGTTAATATCTAAATTCCAACATTTATTTGATTGAATTGATATTACCAATCGAAATAAAGTCATTCTTAAAACTGAGCATTAGTGATAGTTTCCAATGGTTTTTCATAAAGTGCCTTATTTTGTTCAAAATATTACTTTTGTTAAGAGCCTAACAGCTTGAGACTCAAAATATTTGTACATTGAATTGGAAATAGGACTTTGAGGTTTTTATTTGTTTTATTTATTTTTCAAAATTTTTTATAATAGAAATTAGAACAAGAAAATAATATTTTTCACTTTCAGTTCAGTTTAATAAAAACTAGTGACGTTTGCTTATCGAACGACGTTCTTTTTAAATCAGAAAATATACTTATTAGTACATAATATATAAATCTCATGTACAATGGGTTTTGACACACACAAATACATAATGCCTAATGTACAGCAGAGCGGTAAAAACCACCTTTTTTTGTTAAATTTAACTCTTATATTTCTTATTTAAATTCCAGTTACTGATTAGTATCTACAATATATAAACAGTTTATAATTTAATGAAAAAAAATATACTTTTTTTCTAGGGTACTTATGTTTCATCTGGTATGAAGAAAAGTGACGACTTTTTTTCAAATTTACCTAAGCAATTTTTTTATGGAACATATAAAGTACGTTTTCAATTCACCAGAAACAAGATGGTCATTGGCTGTTCAATTTCTGTTGTAGAGGTGAAGCGGCCTTGGGAAACTGCTTAAACATAAATAACAATATAATTATAATAGCTTATACTTGTATAATGTGTTACATAATAGAAGCTTTTCTTGCTATTACTGGTGAGACAACCAACTTCATTTTATGTGTTTAAATTACTGTTGTTGATCCTGTACTTTTAATTTGAAAATACAGATTTTGCATTATTATGGTTGCATAGATAAACCATTTTCTATATCTACTAAATTATAATTTAAATTTTTTTTAATATTATCATATATTTAGACTATTTAGAGTCTCGACCGTTTCTATTACTTATTTAAGCCTTAAAGGGAATGTACGGAAAAAATTAAAAGATTTCAGAATAGATTTTTAGGGTTTATTGGTTAAAAATAAAACATATTATTATTATTATTTATAAATGGTTCGATATAGTTCATCCCATATTTTAGAACGTATTCCTTTTCATGTACCAGAATACAACTTTAGAACATACATTTCATATTCTATCTAAGCCCACCGAACTAAGTATGGTCAAAATAACTTCTTTGACAGAATTTTGATGTGAGATAATGGTTCTTTATTGGACTTTTTCCATTTAAAATTAAGCATTCACAATCTATTGGAGAAGTTTTTCTAAGACTATTATATACCTTGAATTAAACTATTTATCATTGGATATGTATAACTGATGGTTCATAATCAATGAAATGAATATTGTTTTCTCAATAAATTTCCATCTTTATAGCAGTATTTTTACCAAAAAAACTGTACAATAAAATGATAAACTTATTATAAAATTATTGATATATACACTGTATTCTCTGCCAACATTCATTTTATGATAGGGTTTAGAACTTAAACTAGGACATATTTTTAAATTAAAACCAAAAGAATTTTCAGAAGTAATTATGGCATCCCAATGTTTTAGTTTCACTATGCCATCTGGCGTAGTTAATCAGTACAATAAGTAAAGGTGACTGAAACCCTATGATTATGTTTAAATGTTAAAATAATGTATCTTTAAAGTATACAGACCAGCATTTTGCAATGTGCTATGATTTTTTTAATTTGTATTTTAATTAATTGGTGTTTGACAAATAAGAACCTATTTATGTTTAATAAATAAAATTATAGCATAATTATGTATAAATTAATAATACTTGGTGAATAGAAATAATTTTCTATTTTCTATCTTCTATATAAATAATTCATCTATATCTATACGTGCTCTAACGGATTTGTTATAACAAACTATAAAAATCTATAAAAATAAATATGAATGTTAATAATAGCTAATCGACTGACGGCCCGGCCGCAGACCGCAAATCTCAGCTAGTTAATAATATAAATTATGAAATTATACTTAGACATATTTAGGTATGTGATAATATATTAGTGCGGTAGGTAAATAAAATAGATGTGATTGAGCATTAGTTATTAAACATAAATAGTCAGGTTTCCAAAATAAAAACCATAAAAAAAAATAGAAATTAGTTAAACGAATCATTGTACTTTCATCTAATATTAAAAAACATATAATCTTATTACCCAAATTTCACATTGTTTTAATATGGAATTTATAAAAATTTTGATAATGCGAGGAAAATCTGATAAAACCCATAATTTTCTTGATGAATCATAAATGTGTTCACACCTAACATTTTCAGACGAAATTCCCGCAAACTTTGTCCACATACTTTGATTCCATGTACCACCATCAGATGCAATGGCGAGCGCATGGAAACCAGGAGTCTCCAAAACAATAACACATTCAATAACGATCCTGTGCAACACTGTACTTGAAGCACAACCTTTACTCAAAAGAACTGACGATGCCTGAACCCATTTTCCTTGGAATAGTTGGTATATTAAGAAAAAGGCATGATCACCTTTACTATTTCTCTGATGTTAAGGAGTATAGTTGCCCAACTTGACCAAACCATTTTTTTATTGATTGAAACTGATTCACTTAATTTCATTTTATCCAATAATAGAATTGGAAAAATCAAATGCTAGATACTTTATACTTAAATTTAATTGCTAAGATAGAATATGTCTAAAAAAAATTAACTACATTTATCTTGGGGAGCCATACAATCTTTTTTTATCTTCTTTGCATTGGATTTTCGATTTATATGGATTTATTAGAGTTTCAATCATAAGATTCATGAAACCTATTAAAAAACATGCGTGTTAGCTCCTGAATCGATCTTAAGAAGTGGCGGTTAACGTGATGTTGAGGACGAGAGAAAGTTACAAAATAAATTAATATAAATGGTATTAAGTACAATGGAAATATATTTACAGTGCAATGCTCACAAGGTATATTATTAAAGTAATACAATAAATAATAATATAGGTGGGATCTCTCTACACAGGATGATAGAAATATATAAGATGACGCCAGTAATAACACAATCTAACATGAATATGTAATAAATATACAAAATATATACAAGAGTGTAAAATAGCACTTATAATCAAGCCTGGACATAAACATGTTAAAAATTTAATGTTTAGTTAATTTTACGAATTTATACGGCCGTTTGGGATTTTTCATACACATTTACGTCCAAGGATATTACACCATCAGCGAATAATAAAATCTGCATGGTCTAGATGATAAAAATCAATGCACATCGTACATTTGTTATCCATATAATATTGCATGTTACAAGCATCTACTGCAACAATAGTGTATGCAAGGTCAGTAAAAGATAATATTCATACACATGATTCCATTCAAAATTTAAATTAAAGGAGATTACGCAGGTACTACTTACCATTGTAACAAAAATTATTTTACTCCGCAGGAAAACAGTACGGCAATAAACCCCATTGATATCGCTTGTGTGGTTATAATATTATAGACGAAAAATGAAGAGTTTACTAATCAATCTAATCGTTTTGTTATTTTTGTCCTATCAACATGGTATGGATAAGTATTACATAAATAAAAATAATATAAGTTCTTCAGACTTTGCAACTGTAAGAATGATTGTTGATTGAACCATTGAAATATATGAAGTTCAAATATTTCAAGCATGACCAATGTGCTAATATCCATCTATCTGGAAATTTGGTAACAATTATTTCTTATTATGCTTGTATCACTTTATTAGCAGGAAAAATGATTTAAGGTATATTAGATTTATGGTCAATATTAGTAAGCATGCACTTCAATTTTGAAAAATTTGTAATATAGTAAACCAAAGATGAAGTGTTTAGTAATCAATCTTAAAGTATAATATGTCATTGTTAATTCAGATCCATCTAAACGCTTGTTTCTACCACAATTACCGATGATAAGTAGGTACCTAATTAGGTATATGTATCAATAAAGCAGCCACCACATTGTAACAAAAGAATGTAAAGGAGAAAATGTATTTATAATTGAACAAATAAAATATTTGTGATTTTATATACCTAGTTCACATAATAAGTTGAGTACCAAATTCATTGACTTTTAAAATAATAAATTGTTGAATTTTATCGTTTCGTGCTGGTGGATCCGATTTTGGTCAAAATATGTAAATTGATTTCTTTATAGGTTGAAATCAATCTAGCGGTAAAATATTCTGTCAGTGGTTGGAAAGATAAGACTTATAATTTTAAGACACCAATCATTGGACTGAAATAATGGATCGTTTGGGAATGCACAATGCACATGGTTGTCCTATTTCTGTGGTAAGAATAGGTATTATATGAATAAAAAAAATATAGACGTTAATATATTTTTAATTATGTTTTTATAACGTACCAATGTAACGTATAACACTCATCATTAACATCTAAATAATAACATATATTTGATTGGATTACTTAATATGACCAATCAAACACATGCCATTCTTAAAATATTGAGCATTAGTGATAGTCTCTAACGATTTTACATTATTGCCTTATTCTGTACAAATTATTACTTTGGTTAAGAGCTTAACAGTTTGAGACTCAAAACATTTATACATTGAATTTAAAATAGGATTTTGAAGCTTTTTAATGCAATTGGAAATTTTTATTTTTGTTATTTGTCTTTCAATTTTGGACAATAATTAATATTTTGTACTTTGTTAAGTAGGTATCTTGAAAATTTAGCACAACTCTCAGTGTAAATTGTTATCAGTGTGATTTCAAAAGAAAGTGTAGTCTAAATGTTCAATATATTTTCATGATTTAGTTGAACATTTATAAAAATATTCATTTTTATATTTTAAATTTTAAATTTGAATATTTAAAATAATATTCCTCAAACGATTTGAAGATTTGTTTGACGAAACATTTAAAGTACCTACTTACTTAAAATATTAAATTTTATACACACAATGACGTATTAAAATGCAATTTCACTAATGTTTAATGGTAAAATAAATTCCTTTAAAGGCAATAAATATCCCGTGTGCAGAACTAAAAAAATGAATTCGTTCACGTTCATGATCAATCCTTTAAATTTCAGGGACGGAGTGGCCGAGTGGACTAAGGCGTCGGTTGCAGCGTGGACGGTCGCCGGTTCGAACCTCGGTCACGGTCGGCGTTTTTCTCCCAGCAGACACCTGTCGTGTATCGTCCACTAAATATGAAGGTGAACGCGTGAACATGCTTCATAAACGACGTTCTTTCAAAATACTTTTGTATCATAAAATATAAGTTTGTCACGTCTTTCGTGTACATTTATACCCACAAGTAGTTACCCATATTTTTTGTTTAATTTAATGTTTTGATTCATAATTTTAATTGCAATTGCTGATTAGTATTCACAATTTATAAATGATTTTATATTTAAAGAAAATAAACATATGTTTTATATTTGTAGGGTTTTTATGTTGCATGAAGAATAATGATGACTCGTTTTCAAATTTACCTATGCAATTTTTGTATGGAACATCAAAATTATGTATTCAATTCACCAAAAACTAGATTCTCCATGGATTTTCAACTTCTGTTTTAGAGGTGAAACGACGTTGGGAAACTGATAAAACACCAAATCACAATAAAACTATAATAGTTACTATAATTTATCACTTAGAAGAAGCTTGATATTACT